TTTTACCATCAGACTGAAGGACTGCTTGAAACCTCTAATTCAAAAAGATTTACTGAGAAGAAATACATGCCCAGGAACCCAATCGCTTCCCAACAGCAATCCTCATAAGATGAAGCTATTGGCAGTTTTGCCAACGAGTGGTTAATATTAGCAGAATTGTATAGGAGGGGTATTTTTAAATGCGTTCTTTTCGCTATTAAGGTGAGATTACTTCGGTCTCTCATAAACGGTAGAGTCTGGGTCGCAAGAAAAGCAAAATTTCGAGCAGAAGCGTGCAAAAACCAAGCAAAAAAGTTAAAAAACAAAAAAATTCTGAATAGAAAAAGCCCTTACCGCGGTCGAGATATGGTATGATCGATGTGGGTATGAAAAATTGCATAGCAGAATCGATCAGAGAGAGCTGCTGCAGCGACAACAGTAGCGATGCGTCAGATGCATTTTTACGTGCTTTCATGATTTCCTCCGTCAGCTGCAAAATATTCTGAAGTAAAAAGTCAAACTCAAAAACACTTCCACTTATACTCTCCCTAAAAAACAGGCCTCCCCCGACACGAAGCTTCAGACAGGACAAAACCGTATTTGATCCGTTCGAAAGCGTTAAAAGCAACCTCTCGCTGGCAAAGTTGTCAGTGGTGACAGTCTCATATGAGGATTTAGATGTCCACAAAATCGTAATTAACACATTTTTCATGTTGGAGGTGCAGAGGAAAATTCATAATTTATTAAAATCAGATTTTTGCATGCGACTTAGCAAGATCACCCAAATTATAAGGGTAAAAATCTTCATAATCCCAACATGAAGATTTCCCCAGGCAAGTAAGCCCCTGCTTGCCTGATCATTATATTACTAATTTGCGCTGAACATTGCCTAAAAATTTTGTTCTAACTTCAAGTCACTGCATACTACTTGTTTGAATACTTGAGCAGCTTCGTGTCATCAATGTAACCCACAAAAAAAGAAAGTCCATCGACTTTTTTTTTTTGTAATGTTGGAGGCATCAAAAACATCTGTGCGGAAAGAGAAAATACAAAGCACCAAATTCCTGGATGCAAAAATTTGGTGATCAAAAAGGGAGGCGTAGTGCGGGCGGAAATCAACCAAAAAATAATAAGCGCTCGAAAGTTTTAATCTTTTGTCAGTCATACTGTCTTAAAATGTTAATAATATCGTTAAAAACCAAAAAAGAGGACTCAAAAATCGACA